GAGATGCTGGGGTGATGGTAAGGCTGGTGATTGTGGACACTTGCACCTAACTTCATGCCCTCTAGCACTCACTGCAGTGGAAATAAAGGGATGTCTTAGAGCTACAAACACACACAGAACACAACAGGCACACCTGTGGGGAAACGGTGAGCCAGTTGTGAGTGACCAGTAGAAAGAGACAAGAAATCAGGACCTGAGCCCACAATGGGCAAAGTGACACCTGCCCACTCTCTCTGGGTCTGCACACCCTGGCAGTGCTGGAAAAGGTGGCAGCCTTTGTAAACAGTTTGTGACAAGGGTCTCAGAATGTCTAGAAATCTGGAGCCTTCGGCACTGCATGCTGAAGGCCTGCCCTGTCTCCAGCCTTACCAAAGGTAGGAAGGCTCTTCTCTTGTGAGAGACAATTCGTGCCTTTCTGGGGGACACCAGACACCACTGTGGACTGAGATCTGAACAAATAAGTGAATGCTAAACCCAGACTCATCCAGCCTGTTTCTCAACTTGGCTCTGGGATGCTGGCTTACAGAACACGCCAGTGTTTCTAGGGAATCCTCAAAAAAAAAAAAAAAGGCCCCTTCAGCTCACTCTCCATTGGCGCTCCAGTTGACAGACACCACCCACGGGCTCAAGCTTTGAAACAGTTTTTTGGCAACCATTCTCACTTCATTATGAGCAAACGATTACCAGATATTCAAGGAAGGCCTCTGGCATGAAAGGCAAAGGCTCACAGCAGAAAATGGCAAAAAGCACCTAAAGGGAAGATCAGAGAAGATAACCACATTCAGAAAAGGGTGTTACTGAAGAAAGGGAGCCGCAAAGAACACAAATGAGCTCCTGGAAAGCAAATACTTAAGGGGAAGAGTGAAAAACTCATTGTGGTTGAAAGGTAAAAGTTGAAGAAGCAAGCCTAGAAAGGAGACAGGAGGGCTGGAGAGATGGCAGTCAGGGTCTACAGTACAAACAAGGGGGCTGTGTGAGTAAAGCCAGACTGGTGGTCCCTGCTGGTAATCCCAGCTCTAGGGAGGTGGAGACAGATTCCTGGAGCTTGCAGGGCAGGCTGCCTAGGCCTAGAGATGAGCCCCGTACCAATGAAAGGCTCCATCACAAACAAGGGGTGGGTGCAGAGGTGGCCCAGGGGGTAAGAGTCCTTTGCTCTGCAAGCATGTCAGCCTGAGTTTGATGCCCAGCCAGTGAATGAGATCCACATGTTTTCAGAAGGAAAGTGAGCATGAATGAAGAAACAAAAAAGCAGGAAACAGAAAGGCTTTGGATTTCTCATTAACAACAGTGAATGCTAAGCTGTAATCAAGTGATATGTCCTAAATCCTGAAGAAAGCTGGTTTCCAATCTATAATCCAATTCAGGTGTGAAGGGAAAATAAGACATTTTTCAGATGTGTAAGGGAGTCACAAAATACTTATTTCCCAGTATTCTTTATCAGAAAGCTACTAAAGGATGTGCCCCCCCCCAAATCAAGGGGAGCAAAAGTAGGAGATCCAAGTGAGATTTGAATCTGAAGGATGGGGAAGGAATAATATCTACAATGCTGACATGTTCTGTGTTCAAAGTGCATCTCTCTCCTAACAAAAGCAATTATAAGGCGCCAAGAAAAACTTTCTTAAGAAAATGAAACATACAGAAAATCTTCCCCTCTGAATGCTCTTGGAGGGTTAGACAATCGGTAGGGCCTTGATGAGTTAATGATATGTACAAAGAAAACTAAGCAAAACAATTATTACATCCAGAAAAAAATAACAAAAATGTGCAGAAAGGAAAACTCTCCACATTTATTTCACAGCTCAGCTCCGAATAAGGTTCATGGCCATTGTGACAAAAACACCTGCTAACCGTTCCGATACAGTGTCCCCGGCTCTGCTCACTGAAGGAGTTTAGTCCATCAAGCTTTGTGTTAAGGCATTGACAGGTAGAAAGTCAGTCCGAATGCAGTGCCCCGCAGTGAGGCTTTTGGGAACTGGTTAGGTCTGTTAAAATTATTTGGGTGGCCCTTGTGAGTGAATGCTAGTAGCTTTAAAAGGAGAGGGAGAGGGACCACACAGGCACAGAGACAGCCATGTGGCTTCTGCTGTGATGAGACAAAGCCAAGAGTAGGTCCCTCCTAGCAGCCTGAAGCTTCCAGAATTGAACTAAATAAACTTGTTGAATTCTCAGGGAAGTAGCCAGCTGCAAGTATTTTATTAAAAAAATAAAACAAAACAAAAACAACAAAAATACCTGACTACACAACACCAAATGTTCCTTAACTTAAAATTATCTGATCACTACACTGGGAAGTCATGGGAGTGGGGATGATGCAAGGGAAGTCATGGGAAGGGGCCGAGAGCTAAACACCTCCAGGAGGGTCAAAGGCTGAGATTTCAGGAGAGCAATCAGGAGTGTGGGGGCAGGGAGAGGCTGCAGATGACTAGCAGGGTATAATTCTTTCCCCCACCCTTTTCCTGAAGGCCACTTTACTTTCTCTCTGGTTTTAGCCATCATCCCAGGTGGACACAAAGACACTGGGCCAGGAAGCCAGAAACCCGAGAGTCAGGCCATGCCACACTCAGGGTGTTTACAGAAAGCAAGATCATTATTTACAGGAAAAGAAACATTGAGCTAATTGACTTTTAAAGACATCAAATACAGCAGACAAACAGAGCATAAAACCCCACGTGGAAAAGAGGCAGTGTCCCAACCAGTAAGCGTCTTTGTCCACAGGCTTTTCCGGTTATCTCTGCTACCCGGAACCGTCTCATGCCTTGCTCTCTAAGTCACCAGCCTGCTTTTTCCATGATGCAACCCATGCTAAGAAAACAAAACTTCACTCTCTTCAGAACATCCAAGTCCCCTAACCAAGTTATGCCAATCCCTAAAGTTCCCTGCCTGCCCCCAAGCCTGTGTGAGTCATTAGGCTCCCCTCCTTGGGCTGTAAAGTTCCTTTGCTTGCCCAAGATTGTAGGGGAAAGTAGTGGAGGTTTAAGTCCAGCCTAAGGCCAGTGGTTGACAACCGATCACATACGAAAAAGTGAGGGAATGACAATAACAAAACCCAAGGTTCATGCTTCTGGGATGTGTGTGTGTGTGTGTGTGTGTGTGTGTGTGTGTGTGTGTGTGTGTAATAATTCATCTATTTTTGGTGTGTTGTTGTTTTGTTTGACACAGTGTCTCATGTAGCCCAGGCTGGCCTTGAACTCCTGACTCCCCCTGCTTCCAGCTCCCAAGTGCTGAGATTACAGCATACATTATCATGTCTGGCTAAAATTAACATATTTTAAAAGTGAATTGATGGTGATTACGGGTGACATTTTTTTTTTTTTAATGTCCTTACTTGGAAAAATTGGAGGTTGGTATCTGTAGTCCTTGCTGAAAATAAACTTCAGTTTTGGAATAAAACATCTGGAATACACTGTGGAGAATGATCTCGAAGAGGACAAGACCCACCCCAGAGCCAGAACTACAGACTCCAAGGAGGAATCTAGTCCAGGCTCCCTTTGGTATCAAGTATATGCCAGAATCCCCCTGCCAAGGGCCTCCTGGCAATCCCTGCTTGGCTCCTTTTAGTGGTGGGGAGCTCATTCCCTGTGTAGTCTTGACCATTAGAAAGCATCTCTCCTTGTACTGATGAAAATATACACAGTCCTTGAGTAATTCTACTCCTGTCCACACTTTCTCATTCTTTGACCTTCTCTGTAGTTGTATTTCAAACCCATCTGAGTGTCGGTTCCCCACCCGCCTCTGCACCTGAAGTCCATGACTGCCAATTAGGAGGAATGGTGTACCAACTGCTGAATGACTACAAAAATCCTCGCTCAGGAAATGAGAAGTGGGGGGGGGGGGGGGGGTTAGTGTAAGAGCTGCGGGCTGCTGGGAGCCAGGAGCCTCCATGCCAACTCACCACTCCTTCCAATTTACACAGGAATCCTAGGACTCACCCAAGAGCAGAGTGTGGGTATGCACATTCATACACCTACTTGTCTGTCTGTCCTGGGAATATGCAGTGTGTGGTTCAGCCTTGGAAAGTAGAGAAAGCCAGATCTAAATGGTCATGTTACTCCTGCAGGTGTGTCTAGCCTTCACATTGTGAAATGACATAGTCATCTACAAACTTCATACTTAAGAACTGTATGTATTCTAAAACACCAAAACCAAAATTGAAACACACCAACCAACAAACAAAACACAAACCTACTGTTTCAGGAAAGGTTAGGATTTTGTGAGGGACTTCATTCAAAGATATTGGTTACACGTGGCTCAGAAGGCTGTAGGGGCTATGCCTAAGGGGCTTCCCTGCTTGGAGACAGATGGACAGATAAGGAATTAATGGAAGAGCTGGAATCAGTGTTCTCTTCAAACACCTGGAAATGGACAAAGGCAGGCTAGGGGATAATCTTCAGGCTCCATGCTTCTCTCCTCCTAGCTTCACACAGGAGATCCTGAGGAAGCTCTCAGTCCCTCTACAAGAGCCTACTTTCCTGACATGGCATTAGCAAAGATAGGAAGGGTAGAAGAAGGCTGGGCAGATGGCCTGAAGGAACCCTATGGCTTCAGGTCCTTGGGGTCCTGTGTGGGATCCCTCACCTTCTTACTCAGAAATTTGGGGTAAGTAGAAGGGCAGTAGAAGGGATGAGATGGTACAGGGTCTCTGGGGTCAGTGAGGGGTGGAATAAATGGTGAGTCCCAAATGGTGGATCACATGATGATTCTCATAAGGGACTGACAAGCTTGGGGATGGGGGGCCTATGACTGGGCCAGTGAGAGGTTCCAGCCGGCCACTACCTTCCAACAGGGACGGCTCAGGCTGGGTGTCCTCAATTAAGAGAGAGCAATAGTCAGTACACCTGTCTGGCTAGGTCTGATGGGGGAGGAGGAATGTGTGAGAAGTATTTGAAGGCCATGTCCTGATGGGCTGTCTGCCTGGAAATCCCAGAGCCCCTTTAACACGCAATATGGAAGACCCCCTCTGCCCATGCCACACCTTCAGTCCCTCCCCATCCTGGACTCACCCTCAGAGCAGGAAGAGAGCTGACTTGGTCCATAGTCAGTGTGGCCTCCTTATAGTGCTTGCCTGAAGGGCAGAGCTTCAGGAAGGTGTCGTGGATGCTGAGGAGAAAGAAGAGACTCATAATGGCCACATGGGAATGAAGAGGAACATGGAGTCCTCTGCCAGTTTGTGTAGGGATGTCTCAGTAAGGAAAGGGGACTAAGTGTGGACTGACACAGGACAGGAAACACCCCCAATCTCCCCATTTCCCTGGGAGGAGGTGTATAAAAATGATCTGGGGACGAGGAAGGCAGAGTGGCTGTGTTGTGCTGTGTCACGCAGACCACATTCCACAGTGTTCATTCTTGACTGTCAGAGTGGGCAGGCGTAGTAACATGGTTTTCTCTTCGGGAGGGCCCACCACCCAGCTCCCAAATGAACCACACAGGGAGGCTAATTCTTAGTTAGGAATGTCCCACCTTAGCTTGGCTTGTTTCTAGCCAGCTTTTCTTAACATAAATTATCTGTGTACCTTTTCCCTCTGGGCTTTTCCTGTTCTCTTCTGTAAATCTTATTCTTACTCCATGGCTGGCTGGATTCTGGGTGGCTGACCCCTGACACCCTCCTCTCCTTCTTTCCTTCCTTCTCTCGCCCCCATCTATTTATCCTCTCTGCCTACCAGCCCCACCTATCCTTGCTCCTACCTCACTATTGGCTGTTCAGTTAGTCCATCAGGTGTTTAGACAGGCAAAGAATCACAGCTTCACTGAGTTCAACAAATGCAGCATAAACAAAAGTCACACAGCTTAAAACACTATTCTATCACACAGGAACTCCTGTCATAGCTCCTTCCAGTCCCTCAGGTACAGATGGAGGCATCCAGGTCCCCTCATCCTTAGCATGTAGAAAAGGAGTCACTTGGTGAACACAGGAGCCAGGTTCAAAAACCCATGTACTGGCAGCTGGTAAACCTGACAGCCAAGCCGGACAGCTGGCAACAAGCATTCCTTACAGACTGAAAACCTGAACAGTTTACCTCTCACCTTCATCATGGCCTCTCCATCTGTAGGCAGCCAGAGAAGTTTGTAAAAGACAGGGAGTGTGTGGTGGTATGGCCACTAAGCAAACAGTAGAAGGAGCCCTGCGTGTGCATGTGCACATGCGTGCGTGTGTGTGTGTGTGTGTGTGCGCGCGCACGTGCACACACACACACACACACACATACACACACGAGCACGTGCCACTTTGTGCATGTGGAGACCAGAAAACAACTTTTGGAAGCCTGTTTTCCTTCTCCCATGTGTATGCAAGTTAGCAAACTCGGGTTCCCAGGCATGGTAGTAAGTACTTGGCTAGCTAAGTCATCTCACCCGCCCTCCAGCCTCTTTTATGATCCCCCTTATGCTTCAAAATTATCCTTTTCTATTCTGCCTTTCTCTTACATCAAACCTCTAATCTCCACTGAGTGCCAGGAGCTAGCAATCTAATTCAGTCTGGAGTGAGTAACTCACAGTCCCTCCATTGACATCCCCAGATAAATGCAGATGAGTTTTAGTCCATGGGGATTTAGGGACACATGACTAAGTGAAGAATTCAGGGGTGATTCTCTGACCAGAGAATCAGGGGTAGAGAAGGAGGCCATAGCAGTGCCTGACAACAGAGTGCAGGCCATCCTCTGCTCCCTTTTTAGCCACTTGTCTTGTCACAGTCACTGACTAGGAAAGCATCCTGTAAATCTCAGCCATGGACAAGTGGAGGAAAAATAAGCCAAGATTCTGTTTGTCCACAATGCTGCCTAGTTTTGCATGCTGAGAGGCTGGTCTCCACCTATTGAATGGCTTCCTGGCCTTCAACTTTCCAGATGGGCTTGGGCCAAGGGAAAGCCTGAGCAGGAAGTTAGAGGCAATGAGAGAACAGTTAGGGTTCATCTCTCGTCCTCACAAGCTCAGCACAGCTCTTAGGTGAGTTTGCTTTTCTAGGAGGCCAACTGCAGCAGCTCTGACCTGTGCAGGTGTGGTTGGTGTTTAGACACCTCCCCCAGCCTCAGCAATGTTTCTCCATCCTCCAGGACTGCTGCTGAGGATGCTGCCTTCATCCTCCTGCGATGCTGACTGAGGCAGACAAAACCATGTGAATCCTCTTCCTTCCCGACTAAACGTGGGACCAGAGACCAGAGACATGGGTTCTATTCCTGCCTGTCCAATGGGAGACAGGTCCTTTCCAGGCAGGCTCTGTACTGACTTGGTAGAGCCTGGCAAATGGGAGGTGGACCAGGGCTTTTTGACTGGTTCATGTGCCCTACAGGAGACACATGGAGAGAGCCACGACCCTGCCAATCTAGTAAGGGACTCTGAACTGTCCCCAGAGGCTCTGTGTTAAATATAAAAGGGAGCTAAAAGAGCAGGAGGTGTGGAGGTTAGGACAGAATTCTAAAAGGTGTTGGGATGGGAGAAGGGTCATCTCAGATCATCAGGAAGGAAAGCAGTTCCTATTGGAGGTTTCCTGATGAGCATGAAGAGGTGAGTGCAACAGCCACAGGCAAAAGGGACATTTTGTTACTGCCACTGTTAGAATTGCTGCAAATCAACCCTTCCTTCCTTCCTCCCTCACATCCTTCCTTCCTTCTTTCCTTCCTTCCTTTCTTCCTTTCTTTTTTCAAACAGGTCTCACTATGTAACCCTGGTTAGCCTGAAACTCACTTTGTAGATCAAGGGGCTTTGAACTCATAGAGATCTGCCCACCTCTGCCTGCAAAGTGTTGGAATTAAGGGTGTGTACCAATCATCATGTCCAGACAAAAGATAGGCTAACTTTTACTAGGTGTGTGTGTGTGCGCGTGCGTGTGTGTGTGTGTGTGTGTGTGTGTGTGTGTGTGTGCGTGCGTGTGCACGCACTTGCTAAGGATACATGCACTTGTGCCTTCTGTATCCAGATGTGGATGTCCACTGTCTTATTCTACCACTGTTCATCTTATTTGGGCGGGGGCGGGGGGAGGGGAGACAGGATCTCTTTCTGAACCCAGATCTTACCAATTCAGTTGAACTATTGGCTAGGGAGCTGTAGGAATTCGGTCTCTGTCTTGCCTCCTCCGAGTCAAAAGCAAGGCTCAGTTTCCACATGTGTTCTAGGGATAGAACTCCAGGTCCCATGCTGTTACGGTAAGCACGCTACCAACTGAGCCATCTCCCCAGCTCCTTGCTAGAGTTAAGTCACTTGGCAACACGTGCTGGTGGTGTGCACCTAGAGTAACTGCTTTTCTCTCCATACCATAGGCAGCAAAGCAGGGGCTACTCCTCTACAGAAGAGAAATCAGAGGTAGATGACTTGCCCAAAGTCTCATGGATATGGATGTTAAAGTGTGAGTTGCAGACATAAGAGGTCTGCCCAGAAGTTCAGAGAAGGGAGGCTAGGAAGGTCCTACAGTTGTCACTACCCGTCTTCTGAACACACACTCAGTTTTGGGCGTATCCAGACAGGCCACCTCCTACATCTTCCCAATAGTGCCTGTGGGGGAATTGTAAGTGACCATTTTTGTGGATGGGTTAACTGAGGCTTAGGGAGTTTACCTTGTATGCCTAAGGCCCGACAACTGGGAATAAACAAGCAAGAGTGGATGACTGAACCCTAAAATGGATTCTTTGTGTTGTGCTAGCTCCCCTTGGAAGGGTTCACAGGTGAGAGATGCTGTGCACCCATTTCCAACTTTGGGTAAGGTTGCTGAACGGAGCCCTGCCCAGACTCCATGCCTTCCCAGACGGCCACAGGGACCAGCTGTCCACAGATGAATCACGGCTGCATCGCGGCTGCCACAGAATGTTCTCCTCCTCCAAATATGGATCAGCCAGCTCGAAATGGAGCTCTGAATTAATCACTAATGGACTCAAAAGTCAAAGCCATTTGAGAAACTCACACGTTCAGCCTGCCAACAGCCAGGCAGCCTGGGTGGGGCTCATTTCCACACTTGGCTCCCAGACCAGAGAAAGGCTCAGAGTCTACTTTGCTGATAACTACCTCTCCATGTGACCGTGGACCCCCCCTCCCTTTTTCTCCTTCCCCTCCCCTCCCTTTCCCACAGCCTCAGTTTCTCATGAGAAGTGAGTGTCATGGTGACTCCCCTGCCTGGATCCCTCCAGTCAGGCATCTTTGGCTCTGAAAGTCCATACCCCTCTCTGCCAATCCACCATTGCTGCCTCTGAGAACTTTAGTTTAGTGGGTCTCAAATGGGGCTCTCTTAAACCCTGTAGGGAATCTGTACCCCAGTAGGCCTCGGGGTTCTTATTCAAGCCCAGGACAATGAACAGGTTCTACAAGCTTCCAGGGCCTCTCTCACAACCAAGATCAGAGATTTAATGTAAGCCTTTGGTTCCTGCCTGGTCCCTGGGGCCCAAACTCTCAGATTTTTACTACCAAGCTCTGTGACCCTGGGAGAGTTGGTGTCTTTCTCTGGGCCAGTTTACTCCTTAGCAGAAGGGAAATAATAGCATGGTAGCAACAGCTGCTTACATGATGACACACTATCTCCTTGGCCTATGACAGCTTTGTAAAACTAGCTGCTGAGTCCCCCTGGCATTGTTTTGTGGTATAGACATTGAAGTCCAGTCACATAGCTAGAAAGCAGCTCAAACCTAGGCTCTTGGCTTCCAGGAGAAAACTTGTAATATTCCATGTGCTAGAGCTTCAGTTGCTCCAGGGAGCTCCAGGGGGTAGGGTGGGGGTAGAATAGGAAAAACAGGGGGTAGAGACTAGAAAGTCTGTGGTGTCTTCAGGAGGCTAAGAAAAAAGTGGATTCCTAAGAGGCTTGGTAGAGCATTTGCCTGTCATGTGTGATACCCTATGGTCAGTCCCCACATGGAAGGAAGGAAGGAACGAACGAACGAACAAATGAACGAACGAATGAACGAACGAACGAAGGACCAAATGAATGAATGAACAATGGGTGGACCAGCCTGAGCAGGGTCCAGGAACAATGCTTCAACAGATTCAAACTTAACCCTGAGATTCCAGAGTGTTATGGTGATGGGAGATGTCATTCTGTATATGTTTCTTATACTGGTTAATGAATAAAGCACTGTTGGCCAATAGGAAAGGAAGATAGGAGGGACTAGGAGACAAGGAGGAAA